TAATTCCACCTGTGGAATTCAGTGCCAGGGTTGCATTCTACAAACTGGGCAAACCCTTTGCTGTACTCTTCCAAAACATCCCACCTCCATTCACGTAACTTCAGTGGCCCCTTAGCAAAACCTCCTTCTCCTCCCCACTTTGGTAACCGCTAGCTATTGTTGGCTTTCATCTCTTTGCTCATCTGGGTAATGGGCTCAAGCCCAAGGACTGTGAGGGTGGCTGAGGACCAGGCTGAGGACCAGTGAGACAACCGTCTCACGGGGGTCCCGTGGACTGCCAGTGAACAATCGCATCTCTCTTGGAAGAAGTAGGCAGAATACTTCTGGGAAGCAAAGACGGCAAGACTTTGCCCTAGGCGCTTGAACATGCTTTCCGGAGAGACCGTTCTCTGGAAAAGGATGTCATGTTTGGTACAGTGGGAAGGCTGAGAAGAAAGAGGAAGAGTGACACCGCGGTGGCCATAAAGGGCTCAAAACAGAGCAGGACTTGGGAGGATGGCGCAGGACCGGGCAGCGCATTGTCCGGTGGAACGGGGGTCATGGTGAGTCCGAATGGACTCCGTGACACTGAGCAACAGCAGTCTCACCGCAGTGATGGCTTACAGTTTTTTGCCCCTTTGTCTCTGGCTTCCTTCACTCAGCACCGTTTTCAAGGTTCATCTGCGGTGCACCGTGCGTCAGAGTTCCATTTCTCTCCAGCTGAGACCATGCCATGGTGCAGACGGGACTCCGCTCTGCTAATCCAGACATCAACGGATGGACGTTTTGGTGGCACGCACTTCTTGGGCCATTTCTTTCAATGTTTGGGGTGTCTCTTGTTCTCAGAAAGCTGAGTCCTCTTTAGACGAGCAAGCAGAGATGCCTGCTGCTGAACTCTGTGGGCCACAGCCCCCCCACATCCCTTCTTGGATGGATGGCCCTGCACAGGCTCCCCGAGTGTGCCAGAGTAGGGCTGTGCTCGGTCGGGTTGCCAGTGGCTGGCTTTTTGGAGGTGAATTGCCAGGCCTTTCTTCTGATGCTTCATTCTGGATGGACACGGACCTCCAACTTCTCAACCACGTGCGTTCACTGTCTGCACTTCCCATCCTGGTAACCTGCCCTTCTGCTGCCCTTCACAGGTACTTACAGAATCACTTGGCCAACCTCTTTGCAGGGGCCTGGGAGCCTCAGCCTGAAGGGCCCTTGCCCCTGGACATCCCCCAAGCGACGCCCCAGCAGGTGAATCACCTCTCTTTCCAGGGGGAGGGCCCCTTCTGGGAGCATGGCCTTTCCCTGAGATGGTGTGGGGCCTTGACCATGGGGACCGATGAAGACTCATGGATGACCCCTGACCCCCCTCTCGCTCTAGGTCCAGCGTTGCATAGAGATTTTGAGCCGGGCCAAGAGGCCCCTGATGGTACTGGGGAGCCAGGCCCTGCTCCCCCCAACGCCCCCTGACAAGCTTTGGTGAGCAGCGCTTCTGGGTCTGCTGGTGCAATGGGGGTGGGGGACTGGACAGGCTGTTGGACACACTGATCCCCGCTGTGCCTGGATCCGCAGTGCTGCCGTGGAGACCCTGGGTGTCCCCTGCTTCCTGGGTGGCATGGCGAGGGGGCTGCTGGGCCGCAACAACCCCCTCCACATCCGGCAGAACCGCAGCGCTGCCCTGAAGAAGGCCGACGTGGTCGTCCTGGCAGGTGGGCTGACCTCCTCTCTCCCTCCCCCACCACCTTGCCCATCCTATGATGCCCTTCTTCCTTTCACGGTGACTCCCTGGAACCTTGACCTTTCCAGGGATTGCCTTATCCAGCAAGCCTGCATCTGAAACGCAGGTTGCTGTGTCCAGGCTGGGCTAGGGTGCGGTGACCCAGCTTCACAGAAAGGATGCTGGAGATACAAGCACACATTGTTTCCTACACATTGTCACAGGACGGGCTCAGAGCACCCCAGAGACGTGACGGGCAGATGTCTTAGTTTCTAAGCTTGCGAGCACCAAAATCCCAGCTAACCTTTCAGGAGGCTAGAAGTCTGAATTCAGGCACCGGCTCCAGGGCAAGGCTCTCCCTGGTGCCTCTGGGGGAAAGGCCTTGTTTCAGCATCTTTAGTGTTCTTGGTGTTCCTGTTCCCTGCCAGTCTCCACATGATGTCTGTCTTTCTCCTGTTTGTCCTTGCTTATCTCTGGGTCTAATCTGCTCTTTTATATCTCAAAAGTGGTTTGATTTAAGGCATACCTTATGCTGATATGGCCTTAAAAGCACAACAGAGAAAATGCTATTTTCAGGTAGGATATCACCTATGGATATCTCACTCTCTCACTGCCGATGCTGACTCATAGCGATCCTGTCAGACAGGGTAGAACTGTCCCTGTGAGCTTTTGAGCCGGTAACTGTTTCCAGGAATAGAGAGCCCCGCCTTTCTCCCACAGAGTGACTGGTGGTTTCAAACTGCAGACCTTGTGGATTCCAGCCCAGCACTTCACCGCTAGCCATCAGGGCTCCTATCCATGGGTGTAGGGCTCAGGATTCCAACGCTTATTTTGGAGGCATTCAACTCACTCTATAACAATGCAGCAGTTAGCTGTTGCTGTGTAATAACCATCCCCCTAACCCAATAACTTAAAAGGTAATTTTTCTTTCTCAGAATCCAGCTGTGGGTCTCAGCTGGGCAGTTCTGTTGGTTCCGGTTGGGCTGGTTCACGTGTCTGCAGGTCTCTTGGCCCTCCAGATGGGGAGGCAGCTGTGCTGATCCAGGCCAGACTCTTTTCATGCATTCAGGGCTCAGCTAGCTGTAGGCTTCGGTTGGAGGAACTGCATCCTCCCTACCGTGGTTCTCATTATCCAGCCGGCTCTCTTGGGCGCTTTCACTTGGTGAAGGATGAGAAACACGTGAGGGAGAGAGAGGAAGCCGCCGGCTGCTTGTGATCTCATGTCAGGATGGCGTGCCATTGTCTCTGTCCACATTCTGTTGCCCAGAGCGCGTCCTGAGGCCAGGCCACAGTCAGCGCAAATGGCAGGGAATCCGGGAGGGGTTGGGGAATGGGGCCCCTGGGCACTCTAATTGACCCAGTGGAGCAGGTGAGGCTGTAAGCTCACCCCCAGAACCCTGGCCCTCTGTCCACTGAGGCCCTGCTGCCCTGCCCCCCAGGAGCTGTGTGTGACTTCCGCCTGTCCTATGGCCGAGTCCTCAGCCGCAGCAGCAAGGTCATCGTCGTCAACCGGAACCGGGAAGAGATGCTGCTCAACTCAGACTTATTCTGGAAGCCCCAGGAGGCTGTGCAGGGTGAGCCCCCGAGTCTCCCTATTTAGACTTGCCCTTCCCAGCACCTCTCTGTTGGACCTGGGTGCTGATGAGCAAGGCCCCACCCCTGCCCATGGCAGCCTGCTATAGATGGACACTTTAGACTTGCCCTTCCCAGCACCTCTCTGTTGGACCTGGGTGCTGGTGAGCAAGGCCCCACCCCTGCCCATGGCAGCCTGCTATAGATGGACACTTTTGTGTGAACAAGGCAAGGCGGCTTGGGAACGTGGGCACCACTGCGGTCTCTGACTAGCCACCCTCCCCCACTCCCCCAACCCGGAGTGACCTACTGTTCTCAGGAAATGAAGATCTCACCCCTGGGCTCCTCAGGAGCAAGGATGGACCAGGGACACAGCGTCCTGATCCCTGTTTGCACATCACCAAGGTGTGCGTGGTGCAGAGTGCGCCGCCCCAAGGTCTCTTCTGCAGTGTGCACCTGGCTTGTAGCCCCGGGCCTGGCAGATGCAGTGGGTGTATTGACTGATTTCAAGACTGCATCGCCAGGCCAGGGGCAGACAGTGAGGCCCACTTGCATTTCCAACGTCCAGCTGGGGCAGTGGAGTCAGCCTGGAGGCGAGGCGAGCCCAACCGCACAGCACTCTCTGGTTTTCAAGGCTGCGACCTTTCAGAAACAAATGGCTGGGCTTGTCTTTTCAGGAGCCCTTGGGTGGCTTCGCACCATGACACCTAAATCCCATTTCTTTGGCCTTCCCCTGCTCTCCCCCGGTGGCCTCACCTGGCCAGGCTTGGGGACTTACACCCTTTGGCCCCCTCCTCCGCTGGCCCCTCCCCACAGCCACACCCTGGTGTCCCTTCCCCAGGAGACGTGGCCTCTTTTGTGCTCAAGCTGGGCGAGGGCCTGCGGGGCCACACCTGGGCGCCAGACTGGCTGGAAGAGCTTCGGGAAGCCGACCGGCAGAAGGAGCAGACCTTCCGGTGGGGCTGGGTTGGGTGGAAGTGGGGGTTCCTGGCCTGTGTCCGGGTTCCTGCGGCTGCGTGCCACTGACCTGTGTGCCTGGCCGCAGGGAGAAGGCGGCGAGGCCCACAGCCCAGCACCTGAACCCGGTGCGAGTGCTGCAGCTGGTGGAGGAGACCCTGCCTGAGAACGTGGTCCTAGTGGTAGACGGCGGAGACTTTGTGGGCACTGCTGCCCACCTGGTGCGGCCCCGTGGGCCCCTGTGCTGGCTGGACCCTGGTAAGGAGGGGCCCGTGGCCTGGGGAATGTGCCCTCCTGGCTCCTCTACACCTACCTGCCCTTGCTCCTCTTAGGGGCCTTTGGGACGCTGGGGGTCGGTGGAGGGTTCGCACTCGGGGCCAAGCTTTGCAGGCCAGATGCCGAGGTGAGTTAAGGGGTGCTATGGGTGCGGGGCTGGCTCCTCTCCAGGCCACGGGTCCCCTTCACTGCCCTCTGTCCACCAGGTCTGGTGCCTGTTTGGGGACGGAGCTTTTGGCTACAGCCTTATCGAGTTTGACACTTTTGTCCGACACAAGGTGAGTGGGACTTACTCGCAGGGGGATGTCACCAGGGGTGGCAAGGGCACCCTTCTGTCTGGCAAAGGCCTTGAGCCCTTTGTCCTTTGTCTGAAGGCCCCAGCCATCTGGTTTGTCCCTGTAGGTCCCAGTGGTTGCCTTGGTGGGGAATGACGCAGGCTGGACACAGATTTCCCGGGAGCAGGTGCCCATCCTGGGTAGCAACGTGGCCTGTGGCCTGGCTTATACACGTGAGCAGCTTCATGGTGGGGTGGGCTGTGGGTAGGTGGAAAGGACCATGGAGGATGGGGAGGGTGAGGTGTCAGGGCTTTGGGGAGGACTAAGTGCCGCAGGCTTGCAGGGAGAGTAAAGGGTCTATGGGGAGATTTGAGAGGGGCTGTGGGGAGGGTGAGGGCCCATGTGCGTGTGTGTGAGTGGACACATTTCAAAATTAGGTTGGCTGTCTGATGGGCTGAGTCCCTGCTGTCTTGACTCCACCCCCCATAGATTATCACAAGGCAGCTAAGGGTCTGGGGGCCCAGGGATTCCTGCTGTCCCGGGAGAACGAGGATCAAGTGGTCCAGGTACTACGAGAGGCGCAGCGGCAGTGTCATGATGGCCACCCGGTCGTGGTCAACATCCTTATTGGGAAGACTGACTTCCGAGATGGCTCCATCTCCGTGTAGCAACTCGTGGGCGGGAACCCTTGGCTTCTTCTCACCCCTGGACGGTGCCCTGCTGGCCTGAGCATCATCTGTGCCTGTCTCAGGCCCACCCCGTGGCCTCCTGGGAAGCTCCCAGCAGTACTGGGCACATGGTCGGCCTTTTCCTCAGCTTCTCCCCCACAGACTGAATAAACCACCGCTGGCCTCGGGGTCGAACCTGTGCATGTTGATTTATTATCCACAAAGATGGAAGGAGGTGGAGACAGGAGGGGGCCCTGCTCTCCCACTGGAACTCAGGATTTCAGGGCGTGTGGCCACTGCAAACTCTTCTCCGCCGCTCTGTGGTCCCTTCAAAGAGCCCCCCACATTCCTTCCACACCCACCCACGCACACCCACCCACGCACACAGACGCACACCTGCATGGGGGCAATAAATAATTTCCGTACCAAAGTGCCCCAGCCTGAGGTTTTCAGGTGGGGCCCCTCCAGAAGGGAGGGGTTAAGTGCTTAAAAGTTTTTTTTGGGGGGGGGTGAGGAGGTGGGAGGGCCAGACTCTGCATATCTCCATTTGCTGGACTGAGGGCAATATTGGGGGTCTTCTTTGGAAGGAGGGTGTGGAGGCCGGCTGCTATCCTGTAAGCCCTTGAAACACCGCCTGGGGAGTCAAGCCCATGCGTGTCAGAGTAGAACCGGGTCCAGAGTTTTCCAATGATCACCAGGCCGTACCCAAACCGCCAGCCTTCCAGTGAGCAGCCACAAAAGCTAAGTTTGTGCCACCCGGGGCACCCTATGAGCTGGAAACCCAACAAAGGGGTTGCTTGGCCCCCCCCTCTAATAAAACCCCGCAGTATCCTATAATGGGCCGTCCACAGACAGGAGAAGCAGAGTGCGGACCTCCAAAGCTAATACTGATTTGGCTGGCAGCAGCAAGAGGGTTGGCTGGTGTCGACAGGGGTGTTTCACCCTTCCAAGGTGATGCTCACAGTAACTGGTGTTTCCCCGAACACGGGGAGGCAAGAAAGGCCCGCCTAGCAAGCAGAGCTGCCGTCCTGGCAGCGAGAAGCCCTTGGTACTCAGGACAGTTGGTCCCTAAAAGCCCAGTACCCAGCGGGCCTCTGCAAGCACTGGCCGAGTACCAGCAACAAGGCACTGGAAATGGGGACGGATTCTCAGCAGGGGCCCTGGTGGACCCCCCTGAGCAACTGCTAGCAACCAGGAGTTGGGCCTTGGCAACAAATTCGGTCCTTGGTGAGCCGGGCCTCACCATAGCAACCAGGAGCCCCGCCCTTGGCAACCGGGGTCCCGCCCCTCGGGGCTCAGAGGCACACGTTGATTTGCTTGGAGAGCTCTCTCTCCAGGTCCAGGATGAGGGCATCGAAGTCTTTGAGATTCAGGTGCGGGTTGAAGGGCGCCTCGAAGTCATCCTCAAAGTCGGTGGTGCCCTGCGGCTCTCCCGCCTCCTCCTCGTCCTCGTCCTCGCTGTCGCTGCCTGTCACGTGGTCGTAGTCCGGCCCTGCCAGGAAGTCTCGCCCACAGGGCAGGAAGTCTCCCCCGCAGACGCTCCAGTCCCCCGCATAGCGATTGCTTGGGGGGCTCTCAGGGCCGCCTCGGCCACGGGTCCTGGTTACCACCTCAGGGCCCACTAGAGGCAAGTGCAGTGGCGGCTGTCGCTTGGGCCGCAGGTACGGGGCCATGTCTGGAGCTTCCGAGGGCCTTCTGGGCTCTGCGAAGGGAAGCAGGCAGGCTCACCATGGCATCCGGTACAGCGGAGGGGACCTGTCTTCTAAGTGGCTACACAGGCAAAACCAGGCCTCTGATTGGATGGCCAAAGACAGGCCCTCTGACCAGATCAGGATCTCATTGGCTGCACCACAGTTACTAAGGCAACCAAGCATCTGACAGACGTGCTAACTGAAAGGACCCCTGACTGTATCAAAGATAGATTGCCCAAATCATAAATTTACCCTGATGACGGGGTGTGTGTGCTTGAGATTGGCCGCTAGGGAAGGCATGGCCCGATCAGGCCGAGAGAGGCTCACCTGGCCAGGACTGCAGCAGGTAATGCAGCACCTCGATGTGCCGCTTGAAATCCACTGCGCTGGCAAGGCCTGGGCCAGAACTGCGGCCACGGGTCCGGGCAGGCGTCTGACGCGCTGGCAGTAACACGGGCCCGAAACACACAGCCAGGTTCTGCGGGGTCATGCGGTTGTGCGCGTGGAAGGAGGAGACCAGGCGCAGGTGGTCCAGGAGAAGCGTCAGTGTGGCCTGCGAAGAGAGTAGGGGGTGCATATGGCAGACAAAGCCCGGCCCTGTTGTATCTGCAGGAGACTAAAGCTCACAGTGGGGAAACAGGATCATGGTTTCATAATAGAGCCGGCAAAGCCAAGTCTGGGATCCAGGATGGGCTGCATGGGTATTCATATTATGACCTTATTATTTTTTTCCTGGAGGGGACACTAAGTTAGCTAAGTAAGTTAGCTTTAGAAGTAACAGAGCTTGGAACCCCGTTCACTTCTCTCTGTGTTTGGCTAGGCTGGCATTAGTCAAATTTTACAGATTAGGGCATTCAGGCAGAGAGAGGGGCAAGATCTATCCAGGATCCCACAGCCAGGAAACTTCTGTGGCAAAGTGATCCTAGTTCAGAATTTAGGGTTTTGACACATCCCAGCTGTGGACTTTGGGCAGCCCACTTAACTTCTCTGGACATCTGTTTCCACATCTGTTTACTAGGAGTCCCTAGGTGGTACAAAGGGTTAATACACTCACTACTCACTGGAAGGTTGGAGGTTTGAGTCTACCCAGAGAGGACTCGGAATAAAGACCTCTGCAGTCAGCTCTCAGAACCCCCCTGGGGCACAGTTCTTCTCTGACACACATAGGGATTGCCACGAGCTGGCGTCGACGGGATGGCAACTGGTTTAAGAGCACCCACTTGCTATTTCCAGACCATGATACACGAAGGAAGCAAGAGTCATTACAAGAACAGGAAAGAAAGAGACCAAAGCGGATATCAGACTTGGAAACACGCCCTTGAATATAGAGTAGCTACAGTACATGGAAGACATGATGGCATAAAAGAGCTGGACACAATTTCAAAAGGCAACTCAAGAAGACAAAGCATTATAATGAACTATGCAAAGACTGGAAGTAGCAAGTCAAAAAGGAAGACCACACTTCACATGATCTCAAGCGGAAAGAACTGAAGAAAAAACAAAGAAAAACCCAAGGCTCCAGTTGCACTATTGATGAATTCTATGGGCAAACTATTGAATGATCCAGGTAGCATCAATAAAATATGCAGGAAGCATCAGAAATTAGGAGGAATACACAGTCATTGTAACCAAAGGTCAACTTTCATTCATTTCACAGGTAGCATATGATCAAGATTCACGACACTGGAAGAAGTCCATGCTGCACTGAAGGCATTAATGAAAAACAGCGCTTCAGGGATTGATGAAGAGGAATTGTCTCAACAAACAAAGACAATGCTGGAAGCACTCACTAGTCTATGCCCCCCAAAATGTGGGAGGCTACCCACTTGGAAGAGATCTATATTTGTGTCCATTCCAAGGAGAGAAGGTGGGAATTTTCAAACAATATAATAGTGTCACATAGAAATAAAATTTACTGCAGATAATTAAAAAATGGTTGTAGCAGTACATTGACAGGAAGCTGCGAGAAATTCAAGTCAGGTTCAGAAGAGGACATGGCATTAGGGATGTCCCTGATGATGTCAGACAGATCTGGCTGAAAGTCGAGAATTCCAGAAAGATGCGTACTTGTGCTTTATTGACTCTGCAAAGGCCTTAGAATGTGTGGAGCACAACAAACTGCAGATAACATTGTGAAGAATGAGAATCTCAGAACACTTCGCTGTGCGCATGCTGACTCGTACATACATGGACCTAGAGGCAGTTATTTGAACAGAACAAGGGGATGCGGCAGGTTTTAAAATCAGGAAAGGTGTGTGCCACACTATTTGCTCTATAAGCTGAGCAAATAAGTCCCGAAACGGGATTATATTACGAACGCAACATCATGGTTGGAGGAAGGCACGTTAAAAGCCTGCAGTATGCAGATGACATTGCATCGCTTGCTGAAAGTGAGGAGAACTTGGAAGGACGAACTGATAAAGGTCAAAGGCTGCAGCCTTCAGGAGGGATTAAGAACTCCAAGTAAAGAAAAGCAGAATGCAACTGAACCAATAGACACCATCACAAACCATGGAGAAGAGACGGAAGTGGTAAAGGATCTCGTTTTATTGGGATCCACAATCAGTGCTCCTGGAAGCAACAGTCAAATCAAGTATTGCAATGGACCAATCTGTTGCACGAGACCTCTTTAGAGTGCTAAAGCACAAAGATGTCACTTTGAGGACTTGACCCAAGCCGTGGTATTTTCAATGGCTTTATAGTATGTGAAAGTTGGCCCATGACTGAGGACCACAGAAAAATTGACGCACTTGTGTCATGGTACTGGCGAACAATATTGAAAGTACCATGGACTTTCAGAAGAATAAAGTGTCTTGAAGACAGTACAGCCAGGATGCCCCTTAGAAGCCAGAATGGTGAGACTTGGTCTCGTGTACGTTGGACGTGTTATCAGGAGAGATCAGTGTGGGAGAATGACATCATGCTTGGTAGAGAAGAGGACCAGTATAAAAGACGGAGGTCTTCCATGAGATGGACTGGCACAGTGGTTGCACCATTGGGTTCGACCCTAACAATAATGGTGAGGATGGTGTAGGACCGGGCGGTACATAGGGTTCTGTGGTACACAGGGTCACCATGTGTCCGAGCTGACTCGATGGCACCTGGCAACAACACTTCCTGGGCTGCGATGCCACTAGCTTACACCCATGCTTCCCACCCACCTCGCCAGGCCATCCTCAGCCCAACTCACCCTCTCCACATCTGGAAGGCAGCTGAGGAGCCCTCTGGTGCCCTCAGGGTTGTGGGGAACCTGGTCTGAGGGCCCCCGGGCCATGGCTTCCAGCACCACCTGATAGAGGGGCTGGGTGATGAGTGGGGTAGGCAGCTCCCGAAGATAGTCCTTGAGGATGCCTATGGACACAGACACCCTCTGGTCAGGGCACCCCTGGCTCCTGAGGCCAGAGGGTCACCTTGGACTCGGAGGGATGAAGATGGGGGGCTAGGGGGTGGTGAAATCCAGGCCAGACAGAAGAGGTGCGATTGCAGACGGGCAGTAGGGATGGCTGGAAGTGAGGTTTGAATGGAGGTGAGGCAGACAGAGCGCGCGGGGCATGCTGACCAGTGATGACATTGATGTCAGGGTAGAGGTCCTCGGAGAGGCAGACGGCTGCACTGTCTCGCTCAAAGGCATCCCGTAGTTCTTTTTTCACTGCTGCTGAGCCGCATAGCCGGTACAGCCCCACGACCTGGGGTTGGGACAGAGAGAAAGTGGCTCCTCATGGGAATCTACTGTGGGTGGGGGCCACAGGTTTGGGCCAAGGTGGCAGTGAACCCTGGGTGCTGGGGAGGCTGGGAGAATGGGCTGTAGTCTCATTGCCTGTCTTCCTGGTCCTGACCCTGGACATCACGGACGGTGGTCTCTGCCTTGCTGTCTGGACAAGCTTGGCTCTTCTGCTTGGATTTGATCACCAGTCTTGAGCCTCCACTGATCTGGGGAACTCTGACTGTGTCTGCCCAACTGTCTGTCACCTCCTCAGGGAGGCCTTCAGTGACGATTCCAGACCAGACCAAGCCCTGCTCTGTGATTTCAGAGCCTCAGCTACTCCCCTCCTGAGCCCTCTCTCCTCCCAGCTGCAGTTTTACGGCGATGAGTTAATGGATTCCTGTTTCCCCCGGACATCAGACTCTGAATGCCAGCAGGGTCAGGCTGCTGTGCTATGAAAAGGGTGGCCGAGGATTCCAGGCCGGTGCTATGGAACCCCTCAGCAGCCCCTTCCCCCTGGGAAGGCTGGAAGGGAGGAGTGACCCGGGCTCAGGGCAGCAGGGTGGCTCACCCGAAGCCCTCGGCGCTCGATCTGCCCCACACACTTCTGGATGATGAGGGGCACCTGACCAGGGGGCTGCTCCCGCTCCACCAGCAGGGGCAGGGGCAGCCCAAAGACTCGGGGCTCGGCTGTGCCTGGAGCTTCCTGCTGCTCCGACAGGGTCAGCTTTGCATACAGCAGCCCTTGGGGCTCCAGGCGAACGGCCAGCTGCTGGGCTTGGCACCCTGGGAATGAGAGGGTGGGGGGCGGGCTGGCTCTGAGCCTTGCAGGCGACTGTACCCTGGCCCTCATACTTCTACTCATCCCTTCACCCCAGACCCAGCACCCTAAGGATTCCTAGAAGCAGGTGAAAACCAGAATTGGGGCTGCCTGGGCAGGATCTGGGCTCTGGGACCCTAACTCCAAGTCACCCTCACCCTAGTGGAGGTGCGTGTGTGTGGGGGGGGCGGTGAGTATAAGAACTGTGGTAGGGAGGTGATGGAGGAACCCTAGGCTGAGTCTGCTTGGGTCCCCATCCCGTCACCCTGGGCTCAGCACCCTGGGGATTCAATCTGGTTGTGGAGAGAAGCCCAGAGCTGACCCTGTTCCCTCTATTCCAAGCCACCCCCATCTCAGCCCCAGCCCCCTGGGTCCTCTGCCCACCACGACCCAGTGCCCTGCCCTGCACCACTTGCCTGCAATACCTCGGAAGACGGTGGGCAGCAGCACGGTCCCCTGGGCACAGGGCC